TTTGAAACATTTCTTTGATTTTAAATATAATGTTGTTTCTTGGTGTTTTAATTACGTTTACTTCGAAAACACGTGACATAAAATTGTTTTTAAGAAAACTTGACACTTTTTTTGCCCACAGCATTGGAGAAATTCACTAAATGAAGTAAGAAAGAAAATGAAATTTTGCATTTCCGATATAAATTTCGAGATAAATGTCAGGGCAAAATTCATCAATTTAACACCAATGTGAAGTTTATCGACAATGTCTTATTAAAACAGACAAATGCACCAAGATGTAAATATCGTCTTCTAAAAGATTATCTTCAGTTGTTTTCTTATTGTTACATTTTAATGGCACTTTTGATTAGTTTATTTAAAGGCGCTGTGATATCGGGAGATCCATGTGTAAATTCATTTAAATAGTATAGCATTATTCTTGTATTTTATTGGAGAAACTTTAATAAAGTGTTTTAAATGAACTGTTTTAAGAGATAATGTTTTGTGCATACCTCTCAACGTCAATCAGACATTATATGAATTCTAGAAAGAAGGTCCCTCGGAAGCAGTGAAATCAACAAGTGCGAAGAAATTAAAGTTTTTATTTGCGCAGACTTTGTTTGAGTCTGTTTGTGGGAGATAATAAAAAATTACAAAATCTCTCACGCCTCCAAGCACCGGCTTTAGCAGTTCTATCAAGTCAAATTCCATGCGTCTTAGATTAAGTTTTATAAAGAAAATGTCTTCATTCAAAGTTGAAAGGCTCTTATTACTGTCCCATTTAAATGCTAAATATACATATTATCTTGACTGCCATACAGAGAAAATATTGACACAAAATATTATTAGATAATTCAGAAAATGAAAAATATGATTTTATTTATATATGCCAAATGTAAGTCAGAAGTTCCGATGTAGCACGCGATTAATCCTATACGCTGACATTTTCCATCATACGTGCAATAAAAATAAGATACACAAAATTCTTTTATTTCTGAAGTAGTTCCAATAAATTTGGATTATTTCTTACGTCACATGCCATTTTTTTCATGGTGTGTTGAAATGTTTATATGTCCTACTAAATTTGAAAAAAAAATATTGAGAAAGTGTATTGTATCCAAACATTTCTTTTGATGAATAGTATGGTAATACTTATGACCTTTCTGGTGTATGCATTTATATGCAAATTGCCAGACAAGCAAACGAATTGCTACACTGGTATTATACATAGCTGCTGGTTGACCTGTTTTACCTAAAAGAACACATGGTTTAGTCTGTGATATTGTTTGTGAGCAGTTGACATGACTATGAATAGAAAAGGCAGGGCAAATGTTTACACTGATATAAACTAAAGTTAGGTAATAAACACAATTCTTAGGTGTTCTTGCTCGTCTCTTGTAAGGACTAGTTAGGAGTAATAGGTCCGCGCAGTTGTTTGCATAACAGGACAGGGTGGTGATTAGAAAACAAATTGAATTGTAATTATTCGCAATTTATGGCTTTGTCTTTTTTCTGTTTTTACATTTAAAGCTATGTAAATATTAAAATGAAGACTTAAATTAATTCATAGCTTTAAAACTTATAATTGCAATTCTTGTCCTAAATTTTTATTACTGCTGCTCATTAAGCCAATTGTAAACGGCCTTATTCAGTTGACGGTTTACAATGAAATTGGTTACAAATGTAAGTAGATACATATATTTTTGGGGGAATACTTCAGTAAACATTAGTCTGTATTGATTGTAGATGTCCTGTATGTGCACCATTGCCTCGTAAAATAGTTTTTATGTGACGAATAAAATATGATCAAACCAATACCTATTTAAATAGGTTAAGAACACTTAAGTCATTGAGATTACCATTTAAATTAGTTTGTCCTTTAGTGATAACTCGTACTTCAGTTGTATTTCAAGTATGCAAAATTTTTTGTAAAAATTTTCATTTTACTACTATACAGAAAAATAATTATTTCAGCACTGTACACATCAATCGGACGTGTCGGACAATTCTGACAAAATGATTTGAAAAGAAGCAATTTGTTTCCTTTTGAAGCTATAGGTTTATTGCCATGATGTGCATTTATTGTCTGTGGTGTTATCAAATTATCTCAGAAGATTGCTAAAATTATACGTCTCTGAAGTCATAATAAATAACATGCTTGTGAAGTTATTTCAATACCGCGTTCTGAATTAGTTATATAACAAGTCTCTGATAGTTCATTTGTTAGAAAATTGAAATAGCGTCCTGCTCAGTTCGAGTCTGGCGTCGTACTTATTTCAAACTTGAAAAAACAAATTCAGATGAAGAAAAAAATAATTAGAATAAAAGTTTTTTATCTTTAACAGTCACATTGTTTTCGATCAATAATTATTGCTTACAAATCTTTGTTATATTTTATCGCTAAACAAAGTCATAAATTTACTGAAATATTTGTCATATTTCAATAAGATGAAATACGTTTAATATTTAATTTCATTACATAAATAATTCCTGTTTATTTCCATTATTTACAGAGACTGAAAAACAGAAAATTATATTTCCTGTTAAGTTTCGAAAATGATTTTTTTGTCTCTAAAACTGAAATACTCGTACACTCAACTAGGGTTGGACACCGGTTCCCGGTATCGGTCCTATACCGAATAGTAACTTCGTAAATTACCGGTATATACCGTTTCGTAAAATACCGGTACTGGATTTGATACTTTTGTAATTTTGTAAAAAAAATAATTTAATAGTCAATATGTCAAAAAAATAAGAAGATTTTTAAATAAAAACAGCCTACAAACACGTAAAACAAACTATGAATTACTATTATCATGCGGCGAGTACGGCTTTCGCGGCAAACTTGGAAGTTTGTGACGCGGCGATATTTTTGTAAAAGTATTGTGCCGCTTATGTTCAAGATAATAATATTTTTGTACTCGGCAGGAAAATATAATTATTTGAACTGATTTTGCTAAAAGTTTGTTAGTTTTAAATGTCAAAGAAACAACGAGAAAACAAATCAAATACTTAATAATTGAGTAATCATCGGCACATCGCACACAGTCCTTCCAAACACATCGCACACAGCTTTTGCCGTAATGACAATGTAAATCCAACATATGACAATTGTTTATATTCAAACAATGCTTATAAAAAATAATTAAATCCTTTTTTCAGTTTAAGTCTCTAAACACTCATAATGAATACATATTTAATGTTTCCAGGTTCTTTTCATCCATTACCACATGTACAAATCCACACGTGAATTACGATTTTAACATAAATGAGGCCGAAATATTCCAACAAAATATGCCTCCTTTTGTTTTTGGTGTATCACTGAACTATTATTAAACATGTATACATTTTCTTAACAAAAGAATGCTGACAGAACTTCAATCAAAAAGTGTGAATGTCGGCGGCTCTTTGATGGTGATAGAGTAACAACATCAAAGGGGGGCATATTCTTTTGAATAGCCTTTTATGCACCTGTCAAAGGTCAACTTGTGTGTATTACACATTTAGATCTCTGATACTTTAAACAACTGAAACATATTTCATATAGTGTTTTGTAGGATTTTTTGCAAATGTTGGCTAGTATTTTTGCGTATTTGAGCAGTATGGAATTATGCAATTTGGTAAGGACAATACTTTTTTTCTGTATAAAGATGTTCACGGTGCATGCTATTGAAAAATAAAAGATGTATAAAATTGAAGGGTAAATTCAATATTAATAAATACCAAATCCTTATTATTTGTAAAGCATAGGTATTTGCTTTATGACTTCTACAAGGACTAATATTAGGTTAACATGAAAATGTAAACAAGTCATTTTGGAAACAGTCTGTGCTGACTGTGCATATACATGTATTTCAAAATTTCTAAGTTAATTACTGGTGGAAAATATGTTTGTGCTGTTGTAGTAGAACAGACTGGAAACATAAGTGACTTTGAAAAAAAACATCTAATGAAATTTCTTACATGTAATTCCAAATTGCAAAGTAAGCCAACCAATCCAGTGATTTCATTTATTACAGTAAACAATAATGTGATTTAAAAAGAATATCAGCATCAGAATAAAATTTCTACACAGTAATAATACAATGTAAAAGCTGTAAGAAAATAATAGATAACCAACTGTCTTAAATTCTTTCAGATGTAGAGATATCAAGATTAAAACAATAATTTGTAGACTTATCAGCTGCAGACCGCTGTCCTGCATAAGATATTTTGCTGTGTTTAAATTATGTCATGTTCTTTTGATGAAAAAGTAAAAGTATTTTACAATTAACATGTGTAAATGTTGTAAAAAAGAGTAAACACAAAACAACAAAAGAAAATTATACTTTACAGCATGAAATTTCAGAAAGACCAGTAATGTAACATATTTATTTTCTATTACTACATGTTATATCTCTTCAGTTCTTATACTTGCAGCAACGGGTTTGGTATTGTAAAAGTATCAGTATCGATAAAATACCCGTATCGTTTCGTCAGTACCGGTATCGGTATCGGACCGTTTCGTGAAGAACGATATCCAACCCTACTGACTCAACAAAAAGACGTTTTATTGCAGTGATAATTTAATATAAAAAATTACGTTCCCCTATTGAATAAACATAACAAAAAGTAGAATTAATCAATAAGAAATGTCGACATTTGTTTAAGTTATCAGATAATAATATTATATTGCAACCTTCGTTTTCCGTTTTAGATTATGTTTCTGAGTGGTTAAGGTATTTGACTTCAAATCACTGTCTCTCAACCGCTGTGGGTTTGAATCCAGCTAGGGACTTTGGATCCTATCATGTGAGGAAGTCGTTCTACTGTGATGACTGCTCGTGCCTTTAATAATGCACAGAGGGTCACCTGAGGTCTCTCTCCACCAGTTAATCTAGAAAGTCCCCATATGAGCTTTACTGTGTTTGTGATACTTAAAATACCACCAAACATAATGTGTTTACTACTGCTTATACAAACTATTACATATAACATTGAATATAATTTCATACATGATGATTTTAGCTAAATGGACTTACTTTCTTTGATAATAGATTTGTAGTAGGTATTAAACCTCTTCTGACATATTAGCGGTGATGTGCTCCGTTGACATCTTGGTATGAGTTTATGGAATTCAACAGCCGCATATACCATGTATAGATGTGTCTTCATTTCTGCACACTTAGCTTGTCCCTAAAATCAAAATTCATATACGTTGAGTGGCAAGACATATAATGCCACTATGATGAAAACTATGCAGTTTTATTATAATACAGATTTGTGGCAGCTATCTTGAAAATTTCAATTGTGAATGAGTTGTGAAGCTGGCATTTTGCAATTGTGAAAGGGCTTTGTTTCAAATTATAGTCCCATGTTGTATTGTGAAACAACACGACTGTTTATTTTTATAATTGAAATACAATCACTGTTAAGGATTCCTCTAATAGCAGAAACAAAAGAATAATATAAAGATACTAATAACATCTTTATTTACAGTAGGTAACACATTAAGACATATACTGATTTGTAAAACCTTATTTACAATGCGGCCTTCCAAATAAAATCATATCAATCGAAAAAATATAACATATAAAAGAAATCATTAAATGGTAAGAGTTTAAAACTTACTTTTATATGAAAAATATCCAATACGCCTTAATAACGATCTTTGAGTCGTGTACTTACAATATTCTCCTCATATGACAATGTACTGGAAGCTGAAATATTATCAAGATTTCTCAAGTTTTTGAAGTACAATGTTTAAAGTCTCGTATATTGTTCCCAAGAGATGATATGTTCTATGATTTTCAATTTGCTACGGAAAGAAAAAATAGAATTATGTATTGAAGTTCTAAAAGTTCAACATTTTAAATTGAAATAACCACTTGGGAGTTTCTCTTTAAACAGGCAACAAGCTGAAGGAAAATATCATAAAACTGTTTTTGTTAAGTTACATTTAATGTGTTCCATACTGAATTTATCGTAGAAAACGTCCAATGATCGGTGAATTGTTGACAATGATCGATGGATTTTTGATTCCTAAAGCAGTGTTCTTGTTTACTAAAGACCTGTTTCAATGTAATTTTCACTGCTAGTAATTGTCATTACAAAGTTAAATTTGTCAAATGATTTGTTCTGTATATTTATATTAGCATACGTTTTCCATTTTGAGAAAAGTTTGAAATCAAAACTTGCAAATTAAAAATGATGCTCTAGTGATCAATTTTCACGTGCATTTGAAATATCAATTAATAGTTTAATATTAGAATGTAACTTATGAATATTAATTACGGTATTAGTTACGTCGTTCACATGAACTATTACACATGTTTTTTCTGTTATTTATAAAAAAAAACTTAGTTAGTAATATATGCATAAAATGTATTCTTATCAAAATTTCTTTCAACCAAATAAATTCCTGATGTGTCTGTCAGTCAGGGATAAAGTGTATGCCTAGAAAGAAACACCCTTATACTGGCATCGTTTCTTGAATTTTTCTTCACTTCCACAGTTCCATTCTATCACTGTAATTATGTACTAACAACTGTATTAATTTATGCATCGTGTTATTGAAGGAATACAACAATCACGAAAACTGGAAGTTTGCATATTTAAGGTCTTATAGAATTACCTGACTTGAACTATGTTATGAAATTTACCTGCTATTAAACGGAAAGTGTAACATCAACAGAACATTGAAGGGGGAATAGATAAGGTAACGAATAATGTTTTCCCACTAATTAGTCTTTGAATATCACAAATTTGTACATATATTATTTCTATTCTACTCCATAGATAAAGTGAATTTGTATATAAAAGCAACGTTAAAAGCCAAATGAAGTCAGTATCAAAAATCGCTTAACAAGAAAAAGTTCTCCAACTTTTTTGTAGACGAAGTTAATATAGAATCATATCGGTGCTTTAAAAAAAGTTATGAAATGTCAAAGTTCACATTTTGATTTTTTAAAAAATCGTTCCTTATTTCCTACAGATATTAGATATATTTTTTTATATAACTAATATGTGAGTATCCTCCGTAACAATTTTTAACATCCACAGTTACCTATGATATATTTCAAGTGTTCAAAATTTTACTTCATCAAAAGATAATTCCTATTTTTTTCCTATTTGTTTCTATGTAAGAAAAGCAACTCACCTACATAAATCCGATTTTTTCCATCTAATACTTCTTGTAGTAATCAAACCAGATGTATGAATATTCATATACGCTATGTAACTCTGTCACATATTCCCGCACAATTACCTTCCTTTCCGATGGAAGCCACGCTAGATATGTCATAATATTCGCATACCAATTCTGTGATAGTAAAATCCAATAAGGCAATTTCGCGGTCTCGTTTCCTGGCTATATGTTGTCGCTATCAATCAAAATTTATAACATTTTTACTACTCCAATAGTAAAATTGAGATAAGAAGTCTAAAGTTGAATACTTTTATGCACTAAAAGAAAAATAGAAAAAGACAAAATTGACTTCAGTCATTACTTTTTTCTAATTTTAATTTTATACATTATATGATTTAAATTTGTTATGACTTATTTTTCCCTATAAACAGTAGAGTGATTGTTACTTTTGTTCTCTTTATACGAAAATAAGCGTGCAATTTTGATGCACGTAATCAATTTAAAATGAAATAACTATATTGTCACTGTAATGATTTAGATCCTCCTAGTAATTACTTATTTCAAGTAAGTTTTTAATTTGAAAAAAAGTAAAATTAACTATAATGCTACTGTATGATTCAAATCCTTATTCAATTGAAAATTATTTATCACATAAATTTCCTTTGGTGCTTTGTTTCTTAAATGCTGATGTAAGGAGCAAGTCTCTGGTATACATTGATAAAGAAACCTTTCAAGACCCCGTACAAAATAATCCATTTATATGCAAGTCTTGCATCATAAGTTGTTACGACTTTACACTTTTATTAGATTTGCTACAGCTTTTAATTGAATTCGATTAGTGTCATACTTAATTACGATTGAAGCGATACAATAAATACAAATGTTGTATATAAATGTGCTCCCCACTGTGGTAAACATTAATCAAGATTAGCTTGTGGAACAATGTGATTATAGTCTTCATACTTACTAAGGAGAAAGGCGGTCATGTATCCCTTGTGTATACACTCGGCTTGTTAATTACTAGTTAGATAGTATAAATATTGTAGGACTGGAATATGTTATTATTCTTTTGTTTCGTATCCAAAACATGTTTGTTAATCGGCATAAAATGTTGATTCTAGAATATAATGTCAACATACAGTCAACATAGAAAACAAGAATCCTTTCTAGATATATCACATAAGTTACTTGAGAAATAAATGTAATTTTCATAGCTCGATTTCAAACTAATAAAGGAATTCGGTTGAAGGCATCCAACTTTTTTAGAGAACTTGATTGTCTGAATTTATATATTTGATTTAACCACAGTAATTTATATTTGTTTTAAAGATATTATATGCTCACATTTGATATTTGAAAAAAAACTAATTAAACACAAAATATGTTACGTTTTAAACTATACACATAACAGGTAATCACAATATGATTGCATAGTGTCATTAAATAAACTGGCAGTTTTTATGAGAATAGACTAAATTAATTTGACAAGTAATAAGGAATGCAGTGTCCCTAGCATAGTTTGTGATATTCAAATGAGACATATTCGGGAAACATTTACTACAGTTCAATTACAATTTGCAACAGAAATGTTTTACCCAAAGATGAGCATAGTATATGTTTAAGTAAAACCTTATTTTTTTAAATGGTATTCGATGTTTGTCTTGGTAGGAATTGATATGATTGAGTTGAGAACCATGTATATGTCTGATTTTAGTTCTCATCTTCCTCTAGAATTATACTATCATGAATGATCCGATAATTTTGATGGTCCTCATTTCCATTAAAGTTCGTTTTGGCGAACGTTATTGATCAATCCCTTTGAGGGAGAAATTTGGTGTATGAAAATTTTACATTGTTTATTATACGTTTTGATTTATAAGATTGGCTCACGAAAGTGATTTACTTCTTTTTAATCATAGTACAATTTTTTGAGTATAATAACAAAAATCTGGTAACGCGATAATCGCAGGCACGGTTTGGTCAAAGGTGTTTGTACTAGAAATTAAAATGTAATTATCTTGTAGACTCGGGCAGTATTTTAGCTAAATGTTTTCGAAGAAAAAGTTCGACCGTTAAGGTCAAATTGTTGAAATTTGCTTAATTGACATAACTTTGTTATTTACTTACATATTTAATTCATACTTGTACCAAAGAACTCATATGACAACACCAAGATGTTGAATTATTTTGATGAGACTTTGACCTTAAATTGACTTTGACTTTGGTCAAGTTGTTGAAATGTACTTAAATTGTTGTTGCTTTGTTATTAAGGTATGGATTTGATTTATTGTATCATTTTTTCTGTTTTTATGATATGCTCTTCAGTAATACTTCAAAGATCTAAGAAATATACAAATGATTTGACATGTTTTTCTAATTTAGTCATTTATTTATTGTGTGCTATTTCAACAAGATATCATACAACAACGCTAAGTTTAAAGAACAAAATCAAAATAGAATATCCTTTATTTTGTCTATTTTCAGTCATGTTACCACGGCTTACAGCAATGGCATTGGAGAACAACAATCAGACAAATGATGTGAAGAAAAAGGAAATGGCTCTGCAGTTATTTGAGGCTTACAGTGCTTTGTCATGTTGCTGTATCCTTTATCTTTGTCATTCGTTCAAGGCGCATTATGTTTTAGATTTCAAAAGGTTCAGTTTCGTTTGTTTGGTATTCCTGATGTTTAAGAAGTTTTTGGTAGTTCTTTATTTCTGCGTCATATGTGATGCAATATATAAAGACCATTAACTGTTCATTGTTCGTCGAAAACAATTGATTCTAATGACATTTTCTCTGAAACACACGCCAAACTTGACGAATCTCAGAAGAAATGCTCCTTGCATTTAGTTTTAGTTCCTCTGAATATTTTCAACTAGTTTCTTTCCATAGCATATCTGGGTCACTGAAGATAAAATAGAATATATCAAAAACTTTCTTCGAAAGTGCAATACCTTGAGCCTAGGTATCTAGTGTGTATTTTGACTACATGTTTGACAGATGGAGGATATGTACATTTATCAGTTAAATCGGATTTGGGTCCTTTAATGACAGACGATCGATCTAGGGCCATCATTGCCATTTCGTTATGTTTTTCCAAAAGACAGCAGTGGACAATATATATAATCGACATGAATTTGTTCAATAGAATGTGTTTTTTCAAGATATATTCTATATTATGCTATTCGGTATTCAACTCGCATATTGTGTACTGTGATATGTTCTTGATCTACTTTGCAATGATTCATTTTCCGCCTTAAATATTTTAAATTATGAAACATTGCCAGTCCATTTGTCCGCCACGACGACAGTAATAGTGTCAGTTTAAGCAGACATTCACGGCATGTTTTTGCTTTTATGATTTAAAAGGAGTTTGCTTTATATTTGAAATATATTTTTAAGATGAATTTGAAAGAAGTGCAACATTCACAAAAAAGTTTTAGTAACGTTAGCAGACATTATGTCTAGAAATCACTTTTCCAGTCCTTCCTAAACGCTGTTGTATTCTAAATCTAAATTAGGTTTTACATTTCTGTAGAAAGCAATGTGCTATCACGTTACCCATTTTTATATATTGTTTATTTATTGCATATATAACTTTTAAACATACAAAAAAAAACGACATATTTTAGGAGACTTTTGTTCCCACACGTTGGTGATATTCTAATAATTTTTTATTGAGTGGATGGGCAATAACTGAACATATTTTTATTGAGGTTGTTTTATTGCGGAATCGAACTTTGAATAAGTCGGATATAAAACCTATAAAACATAACCGAAACACTTCATACCTTGTCAAATGACGTTACAAAATGTTGGTTTTGTATTGACCATTTTACAATACGATACTAGTATTTCCATAGGAACGGATATAGCATTTCGCGCATGTGCAGTCTGCCCAGGGCAAAAAGTACTAACAAAACTAATATCAAATAACAAATATTTAACAAATCAACATTAAAATTATAGGTTTACGAAATAGTATTACATTGATTTATGCTCCAATGACGTAAAAGTCTCATTCAAAACAACATTGCTTTCAAACTTTTGTCCTAGATAGTATTTTTGTTTAAGCGGAGAACATATATTTATAATATTATATATTGAATTGTTGTGTTCTGCTTACTCGGCCAATTTTTGTAAATGTTTACAATTCCCAAAACAATAACATACCATGTGTTAGGTTCAAAGGCAATTACTGAATATTATTATCATGTGAGAGAGGAAATTCTTTTGAATTTTTTTTTATCAAATCAAAACAATATTAATTGAGAAATATGTGTTAACATTAAGAAAATGAAAAATGTATAATATTGATAAACAATGTGTAATTGCGTAAAGTGGATCCTTTGAGATGTTTTATAAATATTTATGTCAGGCATCTGCTTTGTGAATCGTATGTAAATGACTGTAATAAAGAAAATCTGTATGATTGATTTGATGAATATAAGCAACGGATCTAGTATTTGGACTGATCATTTAACATTCAGAGATTCGTTGTTAGCTGGACGAACAGTCTAACATTCAGGCATTGATTATTAACTGAAATGACTATTTTACTGTCAGACCATCATTTTAAGCTGACTGAAATGACTATTTTACAATCAGACCATCATTTTAAGCTGGAAGAACAATTAAACATTCAGGCATGCATTCATTATTTGTAAGATTGGCCGTTTTACATCCAGACATTCATTATAAGCTGGACTGAACATTTAACATTCAGACATTCTTTAAAAGCTTGACTGACCTTTAACATTCATTTATTATTATCTGGACTGACCATCTAACATTTAGACATTCATTATTAGCTTGATTGTGGTTGAATTTTCATAATGAAGGAGAGAAACAATATGTAAGAACGTTAATAATGTGTAATCTTTGCATTCAAAATTAGTATAACCTTGATATATGCATAGTTATCAATTACCAGCTTGTTCAGGAAGCCATGTTACCTGGACTAAGATGTTTGAAACAGGATATGTCCCAGATTGCGCCTGAACACGAGGAAGTTATAGCGTCCATGATAAAAGAATATCAGTCTAAAATTGAGACATCCAGACCAGCTGACAAGTGAGTTTTTTTAATGACTATCATTAAGGCTTGCTTTAGTAAAATGGGGGTTGCAGAATTTCAAAAGATACAAGGAACTTTTGGTTTATGTTTAAGCCATATTCGTTTTTCGCTATAAGGCTTGCTTTAGTAAATAAAGGAGATGCAGAATTTCAAAAGTTACAAAGAACTATTTGTATCGCTGTTGGTTCGAATTCCGACAGGGACTTTGAGCTCTTTCATGTGAGAAGCTATACAGCTAGGTAACGGAATGTCGATGGATCTACTCAGTTGCCCGTTTGTGTTTGGAATAATGTTTAAGCCATATTCGTTGTTCGCTATTACAGAGTATAGCAATCAGTTAGCAATGTACCATTTTATGAGTAATTCCAAGGGGCGTCATTGACTGAGTTGGTTAAGGTCGTTGACTTCAAACCACCTGCCCCTCATCGCTGTGGCTTCGAATTCCGACAGGGACTTTGGATTCTTTCATGTGAGAAGCTACACAGCTAGGTTACGGAATGTCGATGGTTCTACTCGGGTGCCCGTTTGTGCCTGGAATATTGTCGCCATACTGTGTTCTTGCAATGTAAAACACCGCCAAAAAATAATTCCAAATACTGATTTTCTCCCTAGATTGAGATTTTGTAATAACCTTTGATATGTAGAATTTAATAATATCGGTAGATTTATTAATGAATATTGTGGAGTAGACAGTGATAATATAGTCTGTATCGATCACATTACCAAATGTTTACAGATATAGGTTCCTATGATACAACATGTTTAAATGGTAAATATTCTCAACCAGTATCCTTTTTTCAACCTACTCCTTATGGGTTGATACCTGCCTTTTTATTTATTTTAACCTTTTATTTATGTTTGACTTCCAAGTTGTTGCAATCCTTTTGCTACTCCTGACTGTCAGGGATTGGTTTAGTGCTTTGCATGACTACTTTTTCGACAAATATATGTATAGAGGGTGAAGAATCACTGTCAACAGATGTGTTCAGAAAAATGCAACAGATGGTGTCATTCATGTTGTGGATTGTTTCTGGCTGAAACAACTTAGGTTTATTAAGGCCTTCGTGGTCGAGTGGTTAAGGTTGCTGACTTCATATCACTGACCCCCTCATCTGTATGGGTTTGCATCCCGAGGAATACTTTGGATCCCGCGGAAGACTTTGGATTCTTTAATCTTAGAAATTTATCAAGCTAGTTAACGGAAGGTAGTTGGATCTACCTCTGCAAGTTAAACTAGAAAGTAACCATGTGATCTTTAATTTGTTGATTTAAGTTTATTTGTTCTTAAACTTCAACTTATTCCTCAGTAAAAACACTAATTTTTAATTGACATTTCAATGTATTCATTAGTAACAAACATTAATCAAACAACGTAAAATCAAACATTTTTCCTTATTTAAATACATGTACTTTTACCATATTTATTTCAATTTTGATCTTGCCTTTTTCAGAAGCTCAAGCTTTACTGGAAACTTTGCAGCAACAGGGGAAGATATGAAAGCCAGGATGATGAATAAACTGAAAGAGTCTACAACAAAAGCTAATATCTCAAGTCTTTTCAACAGAAAAAAGTAAATTATGAACACTTTTTGGTTTGATGCTAAAAGTTTACATTCTGTGATTTTGATTTCTTGTATATCAGCCTGGCGTTTCCATGTTTGAGATTTCATCCGGCATGGGTGCCAGCTGAGTCGCGTGCTTTACAATTGTGTCACTTTGACGTATTTAAGAATCAAATTGCGTGCCTAGGATGACCTCATTTTGTCGTGATTAATGAAGATGTAAATTCATACTCTATTGTAAGAAAATATATCCTGGTGAAATGCCATTAATTTCCACGGAAAATGCCTTTATTGAGGACTGGTAAAGAATTTAAAATATGATCGAATATGGCATAATATGCAAGAAAGAGTATCTGACTTATGTTTGCGGTTCGGATCGGAACCGCAACATGTGACAGATAGTATTTATATCGATCAGACAATGATGAAGTGAAAAGAATTCCCATAATGATAAACTAAGCTACTACTTTGTCTATTGCACAACTTCAATTTGGTGTCTTTATTTGATATCCAAGTGTGTTTATGCAATATATTTCAAATACTAATCGAGTAAAATGAAAATAAGCCACACAAAAGGGAAGAAAAACTCAAAGCACTCTCCCTGACGCAAGTTTTGATTTCAAAGATTTTTCTGTTATCCTCTTAAGTAAGTTACCCAAAAATATCCCCACCGAAAAGTATTTGTTGTTCGAAATATACACTATGTTAATAATTGTTTTTCACTTATTGTTACTACTTTACTGCAATCTGTTCTATATTAATTTTATATTACTAATATTTGTGCATATATTTGTGCATAATGTGCAAGGAAACAGATCTTTCAGAATTAATAGTTTAACTTTTAGTGCTGTTTTATTTGTTCCTTATTTTACTTTATTAAAAAAACACATTATAAGATAAGGGAATCAAATTAACATATCACTATTGCAGAAATGTTAAATCATGTTATGCAATTATTTGTACGTTCTGAATGATGTTTTGTTATGTTCACAGTGGTATTGTTAAGTATTGTGTCTAAGCTCGTTAAAAACGGGTATGTCAGATGTTGTGTATTTTCATCTATCCAAATTAAATCCGGAATTATAGTTTCCCATATAAATATACTGTGTACATGTATTTGTATGTTATTATGTTGATATATTGATGTAAACAGATGTACATGTATTAGTATTCAACTCCGATCTTTTAATTAACTTCGGGATGTCAGTTATAACTTTCACTTCCCATTTGTATACAAAAATACACTATCACTAGCGGTATCACGGTTAACTTTGCAATAATGCCAAGGTCAGGTACTGTTTATCCGTACCGTGGATTGATTGTTAATGAACGAAAGGTATCTTGAACTTCATTAGTATTGCATTTAGCATTATTGAGCCAATAAATACCTATATTAATTATATAATCAAAATTAAACACTTTTTTTTCTTCCCAAAAGAGATATGAGAGATACATAAATAATGGTAAAAGAATAAAAAGAAATAAAAATAAAAATTTGACCCTTCTGGGGTTTGAACCCATGGCCCTAAGTTTCAATGTTCTAGCCTATTTACTCTTAAAAGCGGAGGTAATGCATAAGGATGGTCATAAAGTATTCGTTCCATACACAGAAGTCTAATTAACCTCTGATAAATATAAAAAAGATTGGGATCATTGTACGACTTTTCACTTATTACATATAAACAGCAATGCAATAGTAATGGTATGAGCCACTAATACCACTTTTGAATCGGCCTCTGAGCTTAATACTTTAATTTTGGCCGGTTAGCACAGGTGCAAACCCGGGTAATAGTATGGTGAATGTCTGTCGACGGGGAGAAAAAATTTTGTAGCAGTTTTCTCAGCAACTACTTATCACATCCTCTTGATATTTGGCATGCAGCATTGTCACATGGTCCCATACCTCATCCACTTCCTGTTTACTTACTGATTTAAATTTTCGACATTAATAGTCAATAGTAAATAGTCAATGATATTTTGTATACAAATGCAACCCGGCCTTTTCTTTCTTTGACATATTTTATTGGTTTTATTCATTATGTCTTGGAACAGAGAACTTCATACTACTGGGCAATATGGGAGAACAAAACTGTTACTTGTTCAATGTTTAATGTGCTTCATAACGACCTATCCAAATGTTTCTTTTATATTTTGTTCATTCTTTAATTTGTGCGAAGAGAAGCTTTGATATTGTAGAAATAGAACTTATTCGCAAGACACATTTATTGGATTTTAATTAACTTGTTAAAAAGTAGTTTGCAACCTTTTTAAACGTGAATCAAATGTAAGTCTCTGTTTGTTTATTAGGCTAATAGTTTAGCACACAAAAAACAACATTTTAATGTATAAAAACTGGTGTAAATTTTATAGTAACTGACATGCAATGTAAATGTAATGCAATTTATTGTTGTTGATGTTGTTGTTTTTATGTGATAGAAGATTGTGACGTTTTGTTGTTACAGAGCATTTATAAGATTTATAGCATTCCATTGATATTTATATACATTTTATAGTTATTTATGTAATGACTTACTGTGCAGCTTTGAATAAATCGAAAACACTAACATTAATACAAGACTTTGTTTTTTGTTTTCTTTCTTACATTCTGTGGGTTTATTGGTAATATTTCACTAGCCTGGGTTCCAGTCCAGTTCCAATTTTTAGCTCGACGTTATTATTTTTTTTTTTAAAAGAAAAAAATAATAGAGGTATTGTTACAGTCATGGCGGCGTTGCCGTCCGTAAACTTGTACTTTGATCATAACTTTTTTTTAAGTTCTAGGTGTATTGTCTTTATACTAAGCCACAACAACCCTTGGGATAACCTTTTATGTGCTTCTGTTCGGAAATTCGACATTCAAAACCACATACGAGTACGAAATAGCGCATATGATATAAATAAGCAAAAATTATTTACGCCTGAATCCTAGGATAATATAAGATGTAAAGACTGCATGTATCACCCAAATATCATCATTATTCTTACAATGTATTTGTGTATAAGGTACATTATGTTCTAAAGGGACTCCACTATTCTTACTTTTTTACGGGACTGGACTGGCAATACTATTTCGGGATTAATCTTCCATTTTATTATGGTCTAGAACAATAATTTGTTGCAAAAATTTCATATCATTCGCTAACTCTGTTTTTCCAGAATAATTATTCTGATTTTGAAATAATGACCCACAATTGAAAATCGTTGCATCTTTTAGTAAACTTTTATTGTAGGAATTTATTTAAATCTAGGAAATCCTTATTGAATATGTCTAAATTGAATAAGCGAATGCACACACTTTGTTTTATACCTCGAGAGGTGACATCCGTTTTAAGGGTATATAGCTTTATATCTATTGTCTTCAGTTAACCAAATTTTTATTTTATTTTTGGCAGAAAGTGATTTTAAAATACCTGTATGGAAGAAAAATGTTTTGAGTATTTTCTTTAGAGGTTATTGCGAATACACAAAATCGTTACTAAACGGTTAAGATAATGGATAATATTGCGAAAATTTTTGTTCTGTTTATGTACAATAATTATGTGTGTTAAAAAATAATACATTCAATGTTACAATTATTTCGAGTATCGACTATAAAAATGTGGAAATGATATACTGTATTTTTACAGCTCATAAATTTTATAAAAATATTTTTTGAGACACAGTTTTATATCCTTTAGAATATTTGGAACTAAGATAGGTAATTGAACTTAAGATATCGCTAACCTAAACCATCGCCGTAGCAAACAGTAATTATAGTGTTTCTCAACGATATGTGAACTCACAACGTATACGTAAATAGCGTATTATAGGCTAAGTGTGATTATTTTGAGACGTAAATATTTACCCCTCTAAATCTATTGCTAATAACTATGCACGATTAATTTACCCCGCATTTTCACTAAACCTATTGATATATAACTCTCATAATTGTTGCTTGTACGCAAGAGAACGTAACTTTTGGCATAAATTTCGAAAGAATTCCCAACCCACCTCAGACATTTTAACTTAAACAAAGAGCCCAGATAGCAGACAGTAGTTGTCCCAACGTTGGGCCAATTACATTTGCTCTGTTGGCCCAACACGTAATGCCAACGTTGGCCCAATGTCAATTTGCTAATTGGGGCAACGTTGGGCCAACGGTTGGTATATGGTTGGCCCAACGACTGCTTTCCTACTCTTATCGTTGGCCCTCCATTGGCCCAATGACTGGTTTTCCTTCCTATCGTTGGCCCTCTGTTGGTCCAACAACTGATTTCCCTTCTTATTGTTGGCCCCCCGTTGGCCCACTGACTGGTTTCCTATAATAAACATTGGCCCTTCGTTGGCCCAATGCCTTATTTTCTACTATCTAAGTTGGCTCTCAGTTGGCCTATCACTTTGTTTCCTACTCTTATTGTTGGCCCTCCATTGGCCCAATTACTTGTTTCTTACTACTAACGCTGGCCCTCAGATGACACGACCAAAAACAGCATGTCTCCTAGAATTCAGAGAGACCGTAAAATAAAAGAACATAAGATATTCTAATTACTCCAATTTATTTCTAAATGTTTTTCACATATCATTTTCATTTCCTTCTCTTTGTTGTTGCAACATTTTAGTCAGTCTCTTCCTCCGCCCGCCTCCCCTATCCTTGGCATATCTTAGCCACTCCTTCATTCTCTTCTCGATTTCATTATGAGTAGACCCCTGTCTTCTTCCTCTTACAGCATCTGAAATTTATACAGTTTACTGATTTTATTTATATATACACTACTATATAAGAATTTACTAGTTTAAAGGCAAATAAAACTGAAAAACTGCAAACAGAGCTAAGGGATAAGACTTTGATAGTAAAGAAATATTTTAAATTACAAGTCAATAGATTTAATAGTAACAGAGATATTTGACATAATTAAACATTTTAACCTAAAATTTTCAAGTAAAAAAGAGGCATAATTCTGTCAAAATGCAAACAGAGTCATGATGACTATTTACAATACAAGAGTCATATCTTACACCCACGGTGTAAAATAAATTTTTAGCACCAGTGAAATCAACTTTGAAAAAGTAAAAATTCAAACCTAATATGACTGTTTTAAGTCTAAGTTTTTCGAAAGGTTTTTTCGAGCCTTTTTCCAACCCAGTTTGCTATTCTAGGGCAACTTCCTGAGACAAAGTGATGAGACATAACACGGCGAACATTGCTCTCCGCACTATCTCCTCCAAAATTAGACATTTGCTGTCTGAAATGAAATAAAAAAACAATTTTGCAAGTCTGGTAAAAGTAATTGTGTTTAATGCGAAATTACACTTTAAATTAAATTTACACAAAGTTCGTATACCATACCAAACATATTAATATAGATTACCTATTTATTACTCAGAGCAGATTGTATGAGCTTAACAGTTGCTAATTGTAGTTTTCAGTTTGTACTACTTGCAACTTATCAAAGATTTTTTTGCAGTTATCACAATATATTCAGATGTAAAATTATGCACATATCATATTTTAAGCTGATTAACACTGATATAATTAAATGGTTTTAATTTCATTACAAAAATCAAATTCATTCTGGCTTGTTTACCTGAAAACATCAAAGTATTTTCCATTACCAATCCGCCATTTTGTATTAATCACATGACCTGGTCACGTGGATAGTATTTTTATTTGTTTGGGTCGTCAGACCAAACAAATAAT